ATACATATATATAATATTACTTATTAGCTTAATAAATTTAAAAAAGAAAATATCCATATGCATGGATAGAGGAATTTTTGCGAAAAAGAGGAATCCAGCTTGAAACGCTGTTCAAAAATCAAAAGATTTGGTGGAGACATCCGGTAAACCAGAAAGTGCCAGTACACGCCAAATGCCCTATACATCAAAGGCGAATCAACAGATAAAATTTGCCAAAAATTATACAAATCAGTCTGAAAACTTCTGAGAAAATATTTTTTATACGAACGAAAGCAAATTTAAAATATTTGAATCGAAAAAACATCCCAAAACTTGACGATCCAAAAAAAAAAAGCTTTAAATGATAAGTGTATTAGCAACATCGTTAAGCACGATGGACGATCGGTTATGGTGTGGGACTGTAGAGCAGCATCTGATGTTGGGAATTTAGTTTTAATTGAGTCCACGATTAACAAATTGGGTGATTCCAACGTTTTAAAAAATAACGTTGCTTAAAGCATTGAAAAATTAGAACTATCAGGAAACTTGATCTTCCAGCAGGACAACGATCCTACTGACAAATCCAAAATTGTTAGTGAGTGACTGTTATATCGAACACCCAAACTCTGGATAACCCTCCACAGATCCCAGGCATTAATCATATCGAGCATCTGTGAGAGCGCCTTGGCCGAAAAATCAGGCAGAAGGACATTTCAAGCAAGGGTTTGATTGAAGAATGGAGCAAAATCTCCCCAAAATTTACAAAAAAATGTTGCAGAATACATGCCCAGAAGAGTATGTGAGGTCCTGAAGTCCCAAAAAAAAGTAGACAAAATACGAGAATGAATATTAATTTAGTTTATGTACATAAATTTTAACTTTACAGAACTCTGTTTACTTTCTTTTGACGCGAAAAATCGAGAGTAGTTTTAGTGTATTATTTTTGGCTGTGTTTAGATGTGTAGGTGTTGTGTATTGTTGTGATGTCATTGGCTGTGGTATATTAGCTGTGTCTTGCTAGGGTGCGCCAGTTTTTCTCGGGTAGAATGGGTGGATGCTTAACTCATTTAAAGAAGCCTTGGATTCGATAACAAAACTTTTTATTATTGTATTAAAAACTGCGTTGTAATAAACACTTTAATATTGATAGAATTACTGTTTACTAATTTTTGACACTCACGTGCATATAAGTAATACTGTGCAACAGGTTGCAAGAGTATAAAACTTATGTCCTATACTTGGCAGAATGGTATCGTTAACCATTTGGAGCCTCCTGGAATTACGAGGTTTTACCAGTTTTCTGCAATCAGTTAATTAAAAGACTTTCCTGTTTCTTAATTCATTCTATTTACAGTTAAGTTGAAAAAATAAGTAAGAAAAATCGATGGTGTCATGACTTAATTGTTTTTAAAAAAAACTACTCAAAATGTATTGTGTATGGATATTTTTTTTTAAGTGAGTGTTCGATTTGTTGAACTAATGTTTTCTCTTTGATCCTTGGATTTAATTATTATAGTAAAAAGGAAACTTGCATTTTTCAGTATGTTATCTAGTTCAACCTTAATTTTCAAACTGATGTGATTTATGTGAGTGCTTCTAACAATCTCAAGAAGGGTTCGAGTTCACTAAAGTTTACGTGATGCCCGTGATAACCGCATACAACAAACTTAATTCACTGCTTGCTAATGAGTTTTCATAATCTTAGAAGAAATTTTGCTTACTTCCCCAAAGCGCTGCTCATTTGTTCCAACCTCCGAAATCGGTCTACTAAGACTATGAATGGCTGTCATACAAACTTATCGTCTCAGCATTCCGCTTTAATACGAAATACGATAGCAAACCCTGATTGATCCGGCGATCTGATTTAATCAGTCTACAAAAAGTTATATACTCTCACTACACCATACAGGAATATGGTTTGAGTTTTAAATATATATTTTCTAAAAATAACATTTATGACAAAACAACGTTTGCTAGAAAAATTTTGGGCATTCTTGCTTTATATCTTAAATACTTGTATTATGTAAAAATCATTCAAATAATATAAAACTAGATCTTAATTTTTAGCGACTTAGCGACGGAGGTTAATGCAGCTTTAACACAAACACTGCAACTTTTTAAAAAGTTTTGAAATACAAATATTCGAATTTGTTGTGATACACTACGTCACTATCACTTCACTTTCGAATTTCAGTGACGTTGCTAAAGATTTAGTCAGCCAGCGGAAGAATAAATTCTTTAGGAAAAAGTTTGTTTTCGTTTATTACTAAAACAACAAACAAATTATCACACAAAGGCGAGTGCTAAGAGAGTTTGTGGTTTTCACAAATATTTTTTTGATATAAAAATACGATTTAAGTTTCTTAAAGGCTACCAATTCGATACTGTGTTTTAAATTTCAGTAATTAGCGAAATTTAATTTATCAAATCTACTGTTGAAACAGTTCTCATTTGGCCCCTGATTGCTTGCGGTAACGGGGGGTAGATTTTCCAAAGAAACAAAAATTAATATACATATGTACAAGGTACGTTCCAAAGTCAACAGGTAGTTTTCGGGCAACTCCCTGACTTCATTACGGCTCAAATTCAGATAATTCAATTCCGTTATCCCTGCAAAGATATTTGCGTCCAACATTTGCATTAGCATTCCGGCTAAGTCAAGCTGTCTGAGCTCAGTGAGGTTTTCAAAGTATGTGTAGGTAGGTAAGTAGGCCTTAGAAAATATGACAGTTGATATATCTATGATATCTGCTTATTACACAAGTCACATAAGAATACGAAAGCGATGTCACGTACTAAATTTTCCCGAAATCGGTTGAATTGCAGGCGTGGCAGAGGTCCGATTACGCTCATCTATAAACTCGTAATGTTTTTGTCATCAATATATCTCATGGACGAACGGACTGACAGACAGACAGTCAACCGGATTTCCACTTTCTCGTCATTCTGATCGTTTATATATGTATAACCCCTCCATCTCTTTCAGTTTTAGGTAATATGTACATGCAACCATTTGGTACACAAAACTTTAGTACTCTGTAGCAACTGGTTCTATTGGGCTAAGGCACATTGCTTTACGGGGAACGACATAGGTTTTGAAAAATTAATTAAGAATTTTAAAATTATGAACAAAGTCTTACTATATTTTATTCAGTGTACTACCGTGAATAAAAATCCAATATCATGTATTTTATGTATCTTAAGTCACCAATTATATAGTTCACAGCGCATATGAGTGATTTCTAAAAAGTGTTTAACCACAATTTATTACATTTAACGTTGGGTTTTTTTCTATTACTAGAGCAACAAACAAACCATATTAACTGAGGCGAGTGTTTTGAGAGATTGCGGTTTCCACAAATATTTTTCTTGATAAGGAATTTAATTAGGATTTAAATTTCTTAAAGCCTACCAATTCGATATTATATTTTAGTATTTCAGTAAGTGTAAGTGAGTTGGTCTGGAAGCTCGATAACAGGAAATTATTAAATTTAAATAAACTGAAAGTACGCAAAATGTACATAATACTCGCCTACATACTAATTCAACTGATCACAAACCCGAAATTCCTGTTGGCGCACACTACCGAAATGGAGTTAACCAACACTACTGTTGAACCAGTCACTTGGCTCCCCGATTGCAATAGTGATGAGAAGAATGTTTGTATTTGTTATGGCAATGGCACACTATATAGTATTGTTACCGGCGGAGTCTATAATATTGAAATCTACTTTTCTTCAAGATTCCGGGAACTGTTTGTAACTTGTGTTGAAGAAACAGAAATAAATTTTTTACTCGAGCGCAAATTTCAGTCAACTTTACTTAAAACCCGCTATTCAGTAATGGAAGTTTGCAGCAATTTTAGGCCCAAAATCTATATGAACGGCATTGTGCGGGAAATTCTAATAAATATGAATGAGCTGGATAAAGCAACATTAATCTATAGCACTGACTTTGCTGCAAAACCAAGTACTTTTAATTTTCAATTTCGAAACCGCTGCATAATCTCCGTAGGCTAGACTTAAGTCAGAACCGATTGCAAACTATTTGGCGCACTGAGACTACCGTCACTACAACGCCAAGGCCACTGAAAATTTTTCAATACAGCAATATAGGCATAAATTTGACTTTAGCCGTTTGTTTTAATTATATCGCAAAGTTGCAACCAGAAAAGTACAAAGGTAGCGAGCTTAACATAACAGTAATCAATTTAAGTGGCAATCGTTTGCGCGAATTCACTTTGGATTGGCTTGTAGCATCGCACATTACTTGCCATTTTGAAATAAACCTAGAGCACAATTTGATTAAAAACATCTTTGCTTTACATGACTTCTCCAGTACAACTAACGATTGTGCGCGCGAAATCAAATCGACAGGCAATCCGGTCGTGTGCGATTGTGCATTTGCTTGGATTTACAGTGGAAACTATCGTTCGCTGTTCAATGGTTTACATTGTGTTCAGGCGTCAACCAAACTTATAAAAGATCTGAAACATATTCAACTGTGTGCTAGGAAACCGGTAATGTGCCCCAACAAATGCAACCTATCGCCAAGAAAATTTGTGAAATTGCTAGTTAATCGATTTAGCGCCTCATAATCCGAGACACACTTTTAGTTATTAAGTTTAAAAAACTGCTTCACATTTAAAGCCATCGTGCAATAGGTAAATTATTTCATCGGTATTGTCCATCTAACCTTTTGTTTGATAAAAATTAGATTATTTTTATATCACCCAAAAAAAAGATTTTTTTTTTTTTTTGATACATACTACAAGTATGTATGTAGGGCATTCAAGGGGTTGAAACCAAACTTGTTATATAAGGCTTATGATTAAAATAAAAATGCAGTAATATTATGGATTCATATTGGCTAATATAATGATTTTGTAATATGACATAAACATTATGATACATTGAGAAAATGAATATTTGTAATAAATAAAATTAATAGAAACTTTTTTTTTTATTTTATAATATTTTAAAAATGAGTCGGACACTATACGGCAAGCCCTTTAACCATTAAAAATTGGGTTATATCCGCTTGTCCGGCGTGTTGGTTACCGACTCTTATACGCAGCAAAAAAGAAGCACTCTCTCTACTAACATATCAAATAATGAAAGCATTTCATGTATGCATGTACTATGTATGTGTAAGAATATGTATGGAAGTAGGACAAGAAATACCGTGGCATGGAACGAGTTTCTAATACAATATATAGAAAATGGCGCAACTACTTGGCGGCACGTCGTTTAGTCAGCGGCGTTGTGGGCGTCGGTGGTTTTATCTGAAAAAAAAAACACTCGAGCGTATCAGCTAAGATCAAATGACAATAAAATCTCCGAAACTCACCGCAGCACGAATTGGCTTAGCTGTGGCAGCATTCGCTGGCGGTGGATCACGCGGCTGTGGACCATTCTCATCTCCAACTACTATTACCGCCACCGGACGATTTTCGGCTGCCATGCGTTCGGTGCTCTCACTTCGTGATGTTGAACCCGCGCGCTTAAACATACCTGATAAACGACCACGTAAATCTTTTTTGCTGGCGCGCATATCACTGGCAACACTAATATCAGAGTCAGATCCCTGAATCTATCAAATGATGAAGTATATACGTCTTAGTAGGGTAGAGTACATAAAAGCAGCAGATGACGGCAAACTTACCGACACTTCACTCTCGGAATTACGACTACTCTTTGTTAGACTACGCAGTTTGCCCATTAAGCTTTTCTTTTTCTTACGCGGACCGCGCGGTATGTCACTCTGTGTAGAGCCACCGGATAAACGTGAGTCCAGACGTGAATCGAAGCTGCTATCACGTACCATGCCACCCAGTTCGGAATCAATGGACTGCACTGATGAGACGCTGCCGTCATCTTGACGCCAAATATTCTGTTATAGAGATAAAGTCGCATTAAAAAAAATAAAACGATTACAATGCAACAGCATAACAACCTGATCCTTCTGTATTGAATGATCCAGCGACAGACTCTTCCTTATTAAGCTACCATTATGCCCTGATGAGCGCGACAGCTTGGAACCAGTGCGCGTGGAACCTGCAGCGCTTGCTACCGAACTTTGACTGCCATGTGGATCGTTTTCCTGCGATGCGGCACGCCGCAAATTGCTACGCCTCACGCGCGTTCGCTCGTTTTCATCTTCATTAAGACGCTGGAATTTGCGCAACTCCTCAGATGCCTCAGCCAAACGCGCCAGCACATTAGTTATTTGTGAGTTATTGAGCGCGCTACTGGGCGATGGACTGCGACTACGTTGCCGCGTAGTACCCGCTGCATCCGGTCGCAATGTGTTGCCACTGCTCGATGTGGAGCGACTACTTGTTGTTACCATTTTCAAATCTGGCGCTATTTTCACTAATTCATCGACAGTTTGCAGCAATGCGCCTACTTTACGCTCACCACCATCTTGTTCCATACGCCGTTTTACCAATTCCTTCTCGTAACGCTCACGCTCGCGTCGCAGTTTTTCATTGGATGTGCGCAATTTAGCGTGTACATCGCGCAATTCCAACAAGTCACATTGTAACTCGGCGATCTTTCGTCGTCCCTCCTCCATCTCCTCTTCGGTTGAGCGTTTTAATTGATCTAAACGTCGTTTTGATTCCAGTCGCTCCTTATCCCGTTCACGTTCAACTTCGAAAAGCGTTTGCCGTAAATCACGTGCTAAAGTTGAAGTTTCTTGCAGCAGTCGCTGTTGATCTTCACGCTCCTTTTGCCATGAGAGTTCTAATTTCGTTTTCATACCTGGTATTTTTGTACGTCCCGAGCCGATGACACGCTCTTCCTCGAATTCATTAAGTTTGGATTGCATCTCGGATATTTTTATTTCATTTGCACTGCGCTCCGACACAAGCTCTGTCTTTACTTTACTCACCTCGAGACGTGCTTCAACTAACTGATCCTCTAGGCAGCCGATCTAGCAAGGTTCAATATTAAAATTGAGTTGTGTTATTGGTTGAAGTAAGTAAATGTAATAGCAAACCTGTTGTTCAAGATAGGCAATTTTACTCTTATCATCATCATCACTGCTATGCATWGAACTGCGACTCTGACGGCCTGTGTTCGATTTCAGTTCACCAATTTTTTTCTGTGCGGATTCCAACATTTGTTTGAAGGCATCGCGATCCTTTTTAAACTTCTCACATTGGCGCTGAATGAAAATAAATAATACAATAACGATATAGGTTCGTTAGAATATATGACACCGAAATGGTATTAGTGCATTTAACCAAATGAAACACAGCATAGATAAATTTTTGGAAGGTCCCATTGAGATAAAGTAAAATGAGATTGGACAATGTTCATCCGGATTTATCCAGTTGTTTTTACAAATGATTAGAAATACATTGATATAAACATACTCCAAAAAATCTCTGAATATTCTTTTCTACGGATATATGTATGTTTCAAACTTAACTTAGGGTTGAGGACATTATTCCCATTTTAAATATAGCACCCATGAACATAGCCGGCAGGTATTTTGCTACGAAGTACGATATAAGGCTCAAGTATATAAAATGGCCCGGACAAGGACTCTCCTCCTTCAACTGCATTCTTGAAAATTGGATCACTACATTGCAAGGGCCACTCGTGGGGGTTTTTCTTTGCTCACATAACGATAAATTATAAGTGGATGGGGAGAAGTCGCTGGAGAATAGGTGCAGTGGGTTCATGGATGGGTCAGAGCTAGGAGGGAATGTTGGAAAGATAGTTTTCTGTAAAGGTTTTCAAGCAAAAGTGACGACTATTAAGCTGGCGGTAGTCGTACTGCTACGCAGTGCAGTCCCTTCCAGGGAGGTGAGGACTCACAATGACAGCAGAGCGGCAATTCTAGCGCTGAGTTCGCTAACTCTGTACTCGAAACTAGTCAGGGAGTGTCTGTCGTCACTAGAAATAGCATCAAGCAACTTCATGATCCGACTTGTTTGGGTGTGTGGTCGCCGATGAGCTAAAGATAAGGGACACCCTTGCTCTGCTCACATGGGAATGGGTTGGAATGAATTGGATATCCATTTATGTTTTGCGTTCTAGGGTTAGTTAGGGTTAATCGACGACCATTCGTGATGATCAAAACGCTTTATCGATTTGTAACGATGTATGTATATGTGTATGTTTTTTTAGGTGTAACAGAAGAATCAGTTTAAGCAAATCTTAATATTGTATAAAACGGCACTTAGTGGAATCTTACAACATAAACGATGAGAGCCTTAGTGAATTCAACAATTTAATTGTTATTATTGTTAAAATTAAAATACGACTTCCTTCCTAAAATGATGATACTTCAGAACCTAAACTAACTCACCTGCATGGAAGTCAGTTCGGCACTCAAATTCTTGACTTGTTGCTCGTAACGCAGACGTGTAGACGCCACCTCGGATTTGAGCTGTAATTCCGAGTTCTGTAGCCTGGAAAACAAATATTTTAATAAATATCGTAGCTTGACTAATTCTATCTGCTCACTTCGTTTTCAGCGTTTTAATTTCGGCTTGCAAGCTACTACTGTGCTCATTAATCGAATACTGCGCTTGCTCAATACGACTAAAATCATTTAATTTACTACTTAAATCATCATTTTCCTTACGTAACTGAAATACTAAATCTATATTCATCTCGTTTTCTCGGCGCAAACGATCATATTCTTGCTCCTTCTCTGCCAATTTATTCTTCAGCATTGTCTTTTCATATTCAGAAGCGCCGTTTTTAATCTGTTTCGCCTCGGCTTCTTGCAGTTTGCGCTTCATTTCGCCCAGTTTTCTCGCCAGTTCTGTACGCTCTGAACTTATTTCATCCATTTCATTGAGTTTTTGTTGTAGCGAATTCAACTCCACTTGCATATTGTCCTTCTCCGTGGTTAGTTGGGCGCGCATTAATATCGTTTCTTCTGATAATTTTTCCCAATGTGTATTCAAATCATTGTAGCGTTTATTTTCATCAGCTACTTGTTTATGCAGTTCTTCAATTTGCTTTTTAAGTTCTTGCACCTGTTTGGAATCGGATTTTGAGGATTTAGATTTGAGCTCCTTTACTTCCTTCTCAAGTGTTGTTTTAGTTTTTTCCGCTGACTTTTTGGCGCTGGCAAGATCGGCATCCAATTGTGCAAGTTTAGACTCGAGTTTCTCGCGCTCTTTACGCTCTTTTTCGTAGTCCTTCTCCAGCGTAGTGTGCTTTTCTTTGTCAAGTTTAGTCTGCGTTTCCAGCGCTGCCTTTGCTGCTTCAATTTTTTTAATCTATATGTAGGAAATATATTTTAGAATTGTGTAAGTGTTTATTTATAACCGATTACCTGGCTATCCTGTTTTTTAATCTTATCTTCCAGCTCTTTGACTTTAGCACTGTGTTTCTTAGCTTCATCATCAGACTTCTTTAATTTTTGCTCCAGCTCACTGAGTTTCGGTGAGGAACTTGTCAGTGTTTTTAAGCGATCTGTTGTAAAAAAAAATAAATATAGATTTAGGATTTTAGATATTTTTTTTTGCAAATTAAATACATTAAAAATATACAATCCACCGTGGAAATAAAATTTCACTCTTAAGAAAACTAGTTTTAGCTTACAAAACAAAATTAAATGCTACCGGTTAGATTCCGGATGATTAAAGTGAAGTTCGAAGTTTCCCGGAATTTATTCCGGCGTTTTGTTAAATGATAAATTTTCAACTATTACATTCAGTAACCATTGTTTCGAACCATCTGTTTCTGCTAAGAGTATTCTTGGGTAGATCCCAACTATTACAGAGTCGTTGCAAAACCGTACTTTCCAACATTGTGTTAAAAAAAATGATTTCGGGCATGAGAGGCAC